AAACGATAGGGGCGGTAAAAGGGGAAGAGGAAGAATCGATCGAATATTTAGAGCCGGCGTTCGACGCGTATCGACAACCGATATCTGCTCCACATTCGAATAATAGACTCGCACGGCCGCGCGACGTGCCGCCGGGCCATCCTCCCCCGCCGAAACAAAGGCCTATTAATGCCACTCGAAAGACACACGCCCCCGACAGGGCGCGCGAGACGCGTTCCCTTCGCGCGAGGGAATCGCATTCTCATTACTGAGATTCCGAGGCGAAAGAAAGCTGACGGATGTAGGCTTGTAGACGAGGGTTGGAAGATTCTGGGAGAATCAGGGGGTTGTTGTAAAGAACTGTCAGGTGATTATTGGAATCGTCTTGGATCGTTGTGGTAAGCATTGCAGAAAGTTTATGGAAAATCGAGGTTAATTCTGTAACGAGAAAACGGGAGGAAAGGTGTAAAGAACGGCGAAAGGAAGAAACTGTGGAGTTCCTGGCGGTTGTTTTTGGTATTAGTGTGTTGGGAGAGGTGGTAGTTACTAGTTAGAGGGCTAAAGATTGCAGAAGGTTTCTATTTGTTTGTAGTATTCGGTGAATGGAGGCGGAATCGTGTTGGTTACAGTGGAAATTGGAGGATTTAGCTATCTTTAGAGGGTTGCTATTATTATGTAGCGAAGTATACGCGAAATAGACAGGGATAATGGAGTAGGTGATAGAATTTTGAGTCAGAAGAGTGCGCAATGAAAGCGAAAGTGCAGGCAGGAATTCTGGAAACGATTTTTTCCCATCTTCCCGTTCGGTTCCGCTGGTACGGCGTGACGAGCGTTAACTACGCCGCCGAGCGCGGAAGGGGCGAGAATCCTCGTCGGATTACCGGCCGGATCGCGCCCATTCACGGGATTATCCGCGATTACCCGGGAACAGTGCCGGCAAACCTGCAGTTACCGGTGTAAGGTCGACGGGAACGGGGATGAAGCGATCAATGGTGTCGCGGGCGCGCTCGTTCACCCTCGTTCCTGTTGCTAAACACTTTCACAGCGCGGCAGATATCGGGGGAGCGAACCGTAGACCGTGATGAGTTCGTTGGTAACGGTTGGTAATTATGTGCAGTCTGGTTTCAGTGGAATTCGGAGGTTTTGGTCGCGTTTGGGGAACAGAGATAGTTGAGATTGTTCGCGTGCGGTTTCGGCTGGTATTTCATTTATTAAGCAGCACTGTGGAATCATGGTTATCGGTTTTTAGGAATATTTATGTTATGGTGGTGCGGCTTTGTCATGATCGGTGGCTCTACGATGTGTAATTTTGTAAGATTTTCTGGAGATATTTCGGGACTTTTGGGCGGAGCTTACAGGTGGGCGGAGTAACCGATCGATGGAGATAGAATGAGAACGCCAGGTGATTCTTGGATAATATTCAAAAGTTCGGGGAGAATATTCCAGAACCGCGAGCGATATAGTCGAGAGAGGAAGGAAGCAACAGGCTGGCCGAATGGAGCAATAAAGGAGTAGTTCCACGAACGCCTCCGTCGCGTTTCAAGATTAAATATTGTTTCCGGAAGTCCTTAGGAGAGTATGATCCACAGGTATTCGCTCGAGTTCTTCAGGAACACAATTCTTCAGTGCTAATAGGCGGCGCATAGGAAAGAAGGGCGGAGCATTAGCAAGAAGGACGGTAACGGGCGGAGCTAAGAAAGAAACAACACCGATTGCCCAATAGATCCTCGAGATCTCAAGAAGACAATCTTCTCACAATCAATAGGACAAAAAGACTACAAAACATCAAACTCAACGTTCCAAAATCCAGAAACACATTAGTAGGCGGAGTTACCCAATGGGCGTGGACAACAAAAGCAAAACACGCCCACTACCTTTCCCTAAATCCCACCCACTATTCATTCTCCAACAAATTCCCCAAAAACCCTATTCTATCTTCAAACAAACAGAAAGAATATCCTCTTACAACCCTTCCACACCCGCCCACTGTAAAACAACCCTCTACGAAGCATCACAGTCGACGCGAATCGTGTCCGACGTCGATTCAGGTGACGGTCCCGATCGGGCCGACAGCGGATTCTCGATTCCCCGGCCGAAAACAGGTCCGTCGGCTAATTGGCCGCGAATGAAGCCCGGCCGGGCGTGCCGATGATCGATCAACGATCATAAATCCCGCCCCCCTTAACCGTTAATTGCACGTGCACGTCAAAACGTAACGTAACCGCGCCGGAGGGAGAGGCGCGGCCCGGCAATTTTCCGCGGGACAATTTATCGGATAATATCGGGCGCGCGCGTGTCCCGGGGATAACCAGCGGCAGCTCCCAGATTAAACATAAAACGATTCCGCGCGGAGGAGCCGCCGCCGTCTGGCGGGGGTGGATTATATACTGACCGTTTTCTACGTAATAGCTGGTCTCGTTGTACCGCTCGTCCGTGAATCCCGGCCTCTTCGCTTTCAAGGCTTTCGTTTCCAATTTCGCCTGGAACAAAGGGAGCGATAGATAAGTGAACGGTGTGCGTAGTCCCGCTGGCCGACCGGCCGGCTGACACATGGCTGAAATGGCGGGAGAATCTGGGGATTTAACGGGATCCAGCTGGTCAGAGTATTCTTTGATCGTTCGGGGGTATCCAGTGATTAACATTTCTGGAGATACGGGGATTCCAGGGGTTCGGGGATCATTAGGATTTCTGGGGTATCAATGGATTAACCCCTTGTCCTACAACGAGTGAGACTCGTAGCGAAGATTTTAAACAAGATTTAGCAAATATATGTATTGCAAAGTTCATTCGAATGCGAAGTAAATATTATTCCTCTGTAATCAACTATTATACTTAAAAAGAATAATAAATCTCTCTTTTTCCAATAAATTATTAACGACAGAGAAAAATTCTAAGCATACATTATGCCTATATTTCCTTTTAAGTATAATAGTTGATTTTGCCATTAATAATTTATTGGAAAAAGAGAAAAATTCTAAGCATACGTTATGACTATATTTTCTTTCAAGTATAATAGTTGATTACAGAGGAATAATATTTTCTAGGAAACGGAGGCCCAGTGTTGGAAAAGCCACGTTTTTCATTTCTAGATAGAAGCAGTCACGGATAAAAATAGAACTAAAAAGTATCAAAACTACAGTATCAAAATTATATAGGAAGACCAAATGTCAAGAGCAAAAATTAGAAAAATTATATATGAAAATTGCACAGTCGTAGAATTACTTCGCGTTGGAAAAAAGTAGAAGCAGTCAAAAATCAAAATAGAACTAAAAAGAATTAAAACTACAGTATCAAAATTATATTGCAAGACCAAACGTCAAGAGCAAAGATTAAAAAAGTTATGTATAAATTGCGCAGTCGTAGAATTGTTCGCGTTGGAAAAAAGTAGAAGTAGTCACGGATAAAAATAGAATCGCCACAGAAATAGGGTTACGTCAGCGATAAGGCGGTCGTAATAATTTGGAACGGCATTTATCATCGACGGTTACTCATCCAGTAGATAGTGACCGATGTGGTCAGCCGCGGGCTCCGCGTTCCAATGGCCGGTCGATACGGCACGGTGAACGGCAGGGAAAAAAGTATCGGTATCAGACGCAGACCCGCGGTAAAAGGAGAACTTCCTCGAACTCGGCGTGCACAGGTCTTTTCATCTTTTTCCACGTTCTCGTTCTGTTTGCAACTTCGGAAAGGGCGACAACTTTGATTGCTTCCGAGGAAAAAAACCGTCCAATCGAACGCTAGAGGAAGTTGACACATTGTTGACCGGTGACGAGTTAACTCGTGTTCGCACTGGCATCGGCTATTTCAATTTTTCAAGTGCAGTGTAGAATATTCCAAAAGCGAAATGTTAAAATTTGTTTAAAAGATATGCACGAAGTTTCGTTTCAATTCGTTACGTACGATAAAGATATGTTGAAGCTTATTCAGATTGTTTCACTTTCGTATTTAATTACGGAATAATAATAATATACTGTCAACAATGTGTTAAAAGGGACAACTATTTAATACAAATATATATTCAATTTATCATATTATGACTAATCATTCCTTTCCTAACTGAAAATTACAAGTTCCCATTTGCTAAACAATATTTTACACTAATCACGCTAAGAATATTATCACATCAATAATATTATAAATATACTGAAAATGATATACAATATTAACCTAATATTTGAAAATTTTCTGACGAGATAAAGACGATATTTTGTGAAACTAACTCGAAGAGGAATTAAAGGTACATTAAAGAACAAAGCTATTTTATTTCGATATTTCCAAATTGGTGCGTCACACGAGGTATAATATTAAATATCAAATTTTATAGATGCTCCTTAATAAATGTTTCAATTGCAATTCAATTTCAATCGCATCAAAATAAGAATGATCTACAACGTACGAAAAAGTAAAAACCTACATAGCCACAATTGCACTCATGAAACGTATCTTTCCTTTGTTTCGCGATATACAAATTTCACAACGGTGGCGCATAATGCGCTTCTGATGCAAATGGGTTAATAATTGCTGCACTATCTCTCCTATTTCTCATACACCCAACAAAATTGTCGGTTAAGCCACCAAGAAAATGAATGTCCAAGTTCCTACGAGAAACGGCGTCGCCCGAATTCGCGTGACGGCGATCAAACCGTAAATAGCGATCTAAGTAACATTGACGGATAAAAATGAAATATTCAGAAGAAACGGTGTCGTTCCTCCGCGATAAGCGATATTTCACCGGCGTGTACAGGAACGGCGCTCGACGAGCGAAACATCGAGCGGAGCATCGACAGCGGAACATTTCGACGACTCTTTCACCGAATTTCCTGCGAAATTGTTTGGACTGCGAGCGCCAAGCGCGCCGCCTATCACCGCGCGAGCGACAATGAAAGAATTATTGGCACGGGATCGAAGAGAGAATTAGTGTCAGCGGTGGGTAAATTTATTTTGGACGGCCGAGCGACGCGGCGGCTGCTATAATTGAAGGCTGGCCGCGCGCGCGGAACACTGGAAACGCCATCGCGCCGCTCTGTCCGCGGCAAACAAAGCCAAGATTGTTCCGTTCGGCGCAACGATTTGTGTTCCTTCGACCCGGAAATGATCCCGACGCGTAACCGTACAATCGATCCTCTTCCAGTATTTTTTCCCGTTGCTTTCGCCGAGGAATTCACCGTTCGACGCTTTGATCGTTTAGTTGTCTTGGTTTTCTGTGAACTGTTGTTCGAATCTCGATAATTGTAACGCGTTTGTGTTGTTGATAATTGCGGCACGATCTGATATGAGAGATTAACCCCTTGCACTCGGGAGGTGTGTCACCAGTTGATTTCCTACAGTGAAGCTATGAAATTTATTTAATATTATACTTCATATGATGCATTAATCTGAGGAATATCGACGTAAAATAGCTTTGTCCGTCAATTCGCGTGAATTTCTCGTCGAGTTGGTTTTATGAAATATCGTCTTCATCGGAAAATGTTGAAATATTTCTAGTGAAAAAGTTCGGAGTGCAAAGGTTAAGGAAACTTAGAGTTTGTTAGATCTTTGTGAGATTAAGGTATTTAACACTAGGTTTACGGGCATTTACTGTACACTTGATTCTATTATTCCTAAAAGAATTGATGCTCGTTTATTTAGATTGTGGAAACTGGAGATTCGACAGTAGGTAATTGGGCTCCTAATTTCTAAGATCTAAACGAATGAATATTCATTTTGCTAGGAACAACAGCATAAACCGTACAATGAACGTCCGTAAACCTAGTGTTAAAGATACGAGAAAGTAAATTAAATATACGACAGTCAAAATTGATAGATAATGAAATTTAGAACTATACTATCTTATCAATCAGTCGATAAAAATAACATCATAATTATTGGAATCTAATGAATTTGATTTATTGAAGCACTAACTGAGGCTCTGAATTTCGCCTCCACATTGTCTCTTCGAAACCAGAATTAAAATGGGAAGAATAATCGCGTCTAAAATGGTCCAAAGATAAAAATATTCTTCATCAATTAAAAATAAAATTATCAGTTAAAAATATTCTTAGATCACGAACACCTCCAGAAAAACGAAGGAAAAGGGTGGAAGATCGAAATACAGCTCACGAGGAAATGAGAAGCTGATTGGGTTGAAGGAGACCCGAAGAACGCAGCGCAGTTGAAATTATTAGCAGTTTGCATAGCTGCCGCGAGCTCGCGGCGAAAACAATTTTAATTAGACCGTCTTCTAATAAAGCACTCTCGCTGCGCGGCCGTTCGTAGGATCCGTTCCTGCCGAAAGAACCTATTAAACGAAAGGTGGACGAATTCATTTAGGATTTCCCCTGGAAAATAACGACACCGAGGGGACACAATCCGCGTTAATTCGCGAGGGTTCGCGTGACAAACACGATTAATTAACGTTCCGCTGATTCCAATTTCAAGTGTCCCTCCCGCGAGATGCTTAGCGCTCCTTGCCTTTCCGCGCGAAAAACCGGACCGTTTTTCCATTTCGAATTTGCATACTCCGCTGCAGCGTCTTCAACAGTTTCAATTACTCCGAATGAAGAAACACTTAACTCCGTGGGGGAGGAACTATTAAGCTGGTGATTTGATAAAGTCATTCGCGAAATGAAAAATAGAAATGTCGATGAAATTGTATTTATAGATGAAAAAGGAATCGAGTGATTCAAGAGAAAAATTTGGAAAAATATTTCACTGTGTATATCGTGAAGTGGATACTTTTGTTTATAGAAGTAATGAATAATTATTATTACTGATTTAATAGTAACCTCTTGAAACTTGAAAAATTATGAAATTTAACGCTGTTTCTACCGAAGGTGTCAGAAGAGACTTTCGAAATTTTCGTTTGAAATTATTTTCTCATTTTAATAATCTTTCCTCGATTAAATTTTCGACGTTTCCTATAGTTAATTCTATAATCGTTATTGGAAAATTCGACAGGTCGATTCTGAGTATACGAGGAAACTTGGGGAAGAATTTTAACTGAAAATTACGGAGGTGTCTTTTGACAGTTCGGTAGAAATAGTGTTAATATTCAATATTAAACTTTCTACGATACATCAGTTTGTAAAATATTCAAACAAAATAGTTTCTCGTTAATTTCAAGAAACTTCATCTCATCAATGTGAAAACATTTCTATGAAGCTTCCGAGCGCAGATTTTTGCACTCCAAAAATTTGTCATTAGAACAATGGAACAATGGTACTTTATTTCCCCATTTCACGTATCGACAGATTACTCAAGACTTAATGTTAAATACGGAATTTTACAATTTTGATTTACACCTTTGCTGAGATCAAACTTCCATATTTAGAATACCCAGTTGCGAACGAATGATTTAACTGTTCGAACAGCAAGCAATCACTACACAGTTTCCCCATTCTCTAAGAATCAAGCATTCATCGTTTAACTTAGCAGAATTTGCAAAAGATTCTGTACACTTTCAACAATCTTCGTCAGAAGATTAAACTATTCAATTTTGATT